GCCTCTCGACAATATGCGTTTTTGCTGGCTGTAGCAGCGCTATAGCGCTGCACAGCAAAAACGCCTGTTGGGAAGAGGCTGTGTGTGTGTCTGTGTGTCTGTGTGTTCGCGCTTCTTGACACCCTCTTTCAACTCGAGAACCAGGAAAGCTAGGAGGCTGAAACTTCGGGAGTATGTGCCCGTACCATGCGCGACCTTCCCGTTTTAATATCATCCGCCGCTGACGCCTAGGTGCCGCTTACGGACGCTTTAAAAAAATATGCAAATTTTTTGACGGGAAAGTGATCTCGGGAACCAAATGAGCTAACGAGCTGAAGCTTCGTAGGAATATTCCTTATGCACGTAATAGCTAAAGATTTCAAATCTAGCCCCCAGGTGTGCATGGTACTCACGTAAGAGTGTATGAAAGCTTTGGGGGAAAATTGCTAACTTGGGTGCGAAGGAAGCTAAAAGGCTGAAATTTTGGGGGAATGTTCCCTATCCAGGTACAACTCAAATGTTTCAAATTCAGCCCCAAGCTATGCATGGTACTCATTTAAGGGCGTATGAAATTTTCTGCAGGAAAATTACTAATTCGGCAACCAGAAGAGCTGAAAGACTGAAATTTTAGGTGGATGTTCCCTGTCCACGTGCATTTTAAAATTTCAAATTCGGCTTTTCAGCCACGTGGAGTACCCAGGTACAGGCATGTGAGGGTTTTGGCGAGAAAATTGCTAACTCGGTAACCAGAAAGGCTGGAGATCTGAAATTTGAGGGGATGTCCCCTGTTCAAGTACAGCTTAAGTGTTTCAAATTCAGCCTTGAGGTATGCGTGGTTCTTACCTACGGGCACCTAAAACTCTTGGCAAAAAAATTTCCCACTGAACAATTAGGTTACTTTTAAAGAACGACTGTTAGATGGAAATTGTACATTTAGTTTGCAAAATTTATGGTTATTTATGTTTGTGACCGCAAAAGGTAGGTGTAAAGCAACAGCCATTCGTACAGTTATGCATACATTTAATGACCTGAGCAATTCAGGTCCGGTGCAAAAACGTATGATCGCACGGGCCCGCTCGGTGCGTTCCAGCCTGGGTCATTGTTATTGTCATCATTTACTATTACTGATAGTATTATTGTTATTATGTTTGCTGTCATAATTATTGTCATCATCATTATTATTATAGTTTCTCTTTATTATCATTGCTTCCTCACTTTTGCTTTTTATGCATTTTTTCCTATAATGCAAATTGCAGAAACGCATGTTGCGACGACCCTGCCTGTGTGTATGTTTGTTTGTGTGTGCGCGTGTGTGTGTGTCCGTCTGCCTGGGCATTTCAACTCGGTAGCTAAGCAAGCTCCGGCACCGAAATTTTGCCAGTGGGTTCCCCGACCAAGTGCTATCTCAAGACCGCGGTACCAACCCTCATGCAAGTCTGGGCCTCGCGTACGGAAGGGTGAAATTTCTAGCAGTAAAAATTGCTAACTTGGGAACCAGAAAAGCTGGAAATCTGAAATTTTGAGATTATGTGCCTCATTCGAATAGAGCTCAAAGGTTTCAAATTCATTCCCCAGGTTTGCGTGGTTCCTGCGTACAAACCCGAGAGAATTCCTGGCGGCAAAATCGTTAACTTGGGAATCATGAATCGTTAACCGTGACAGTCTCTCCAGGAGATTGTCGCATTCCTCAGATCCCAAGAAAGTTGGGAGACTGAAATTTTAAGTGGATGTTTCGAACCTATGTACAACCTAATGTTATCAAATTCAGCTCATTGGAGAGCGTGGTTCTCACGTACTGCCTCGTTGACGGGAAATTGGCCAATCAGAAAAATGAAAGGCTGAAAGTTAACAGAATGTTTGCTGCCCGAGTACAATGTAGTTGACTTTCCGAACTTTGAGGACCAGTATGTCACAATTTTTAGACATTGAGTTTCCGAGCGATCTTATTACAACTCGAAGTGCTGCAAAAACGCATGATCGCACGGGTCCGTATGTGCGCATCGCCAGTGATTAAACATAGCACTTGCTAAGTTTTCCACTGCATTCCACGACAGTCTACTGCTTTCAACCAACCCCAATAATTTCAAATTTAGTTTGCAAATCAATTTGCAAATTAAATAAAGAATTACCTGGGACCTGCAAAGTGACAGCCTGCGCTGGCGTTTGCATAGGAATCGTTAACTGCTGCTGCTGCTGCTGCGTCAGCAATTGACTTACTGAAGGTACCAGTAAAAGTGACTGTTGCAGGGGTATTCGCTGAATCTGTGAAGTGTACTGCGCCGGTAACATGGGTTGAGGTACCTGAGGTACTTGCTGTATCACTCGTCCTCCTTGCTCTATTGTTCGCAAAATGAACACTGGAGATAGCCTAGGTTGCTGCGGTACCAGCTGAGCTATCAGCTGTGGTTGCTGTGGTACCAGTTGTGACACTAGCTGCGGTTGCTGCAAGCCCCCAACTGTCTGCACAAACTGCAGCTGCTGCTGTTGCTGTTGCTGACCTTGCACGATGAATTGGCTGGGCAGCTGGCCTTGCTGCATGATGAGCTGCTGTCCGGTCACTCCGTATGGCAGTACATAGGAGAAACCTCCACCGACTGCAGTAGTTCCGGCACCAATCAGTTGCTGAGTTCCTGTTTTGCACGGTACCTGCTGGCCATCACCACACGGGCATGCCGACTGAGGTATTATTTTTTGGCAGTAATCTGGCAAACACTGGCAATCCCCGCACTGAAATTTTGCATTTCTTATAAAACGAGCTGTGGCTGTGCCGGACGGAAAGTAACGCGTTTTTGCAATAATTTTTGCATGCATGAAACTGTGAATGAACCAGTGCATACATAAGTTCGCCATTATGGCGCATTAATTCAGTTATTAGTGTAAAATACCAAACAAGTGAATTCGTAGTTAACTACATTCTTAGGTTGAATATCAGCTTGTGCAGAAGTTTGGCACTTCATGTATTGCCTACGGAAGCGAATAATATGCTAGTTACACTAGTTGTCACAGGTACTTTCCCTGTATGACCCGAAATGACACAATTAGCATAAGTTGGCTGCTCTCGCGAAGCTGCAGCTGGGCTGCTTGGGCAATGTACAGTACTTATATTCCGAAGTTACCGTTTATTACTATTTGCAGCCAAAATCATAGAATCTGCAAGGACTGAAAGTTGGTTTCAGGCTATTCAGTTCATCTCACACTGGCAAGAAAAAATTCTGCTGTCGTATCTAACTCTTTTCGTCTCGGAATTACAAAATCAACCTATTTGTGGGCAATTTTCGCCATAGAATAGGATATTTTTCGAATATTTGTTTCTGGGATCTAATTTTTCAGTATTTAGTTCAAATTATTTGAAGGACTGCTCACCCCTTTGAATCGCAAAATTAGACCGAATCTGAAAGGGAGACCAGACCAAAAAGGCTCGGAACACGATTCACTTTATTCGCCTCAAATTATCCTCATCCTCGAGTTAAGGATGAAGTCTCAAAAATTTTACTCCCGAATATGACGTGAAAACGAAAGAGAAGTGAGCTGATTTTTCATCTGTGATATAGATCGTTTCTGAATGTGTCCCCAAATTTTTTATTTCCTTGCCTTTGCGGTTTTAGAACTGAATCATCTAAACAACCACACTTTAAACAATTAGACATGATCTTGCCAAAATGAGTTTTTATTTGCAAAAATGCAAAAACACTTAAATTGTATCTTGTTTTAGCTCAGTATGGTGGGCAGGATTAGTGATAGCATTGATGATATGTAAGGTGAGCAAATACGCGATATGAAATCATTCCTGCAGGAAGCTCTTTGCGGCGCTATCGAGTGTGAGCTTCGACGTCGTTTCGTCCTTTCTTCAAATATTAGGAAAAATTTCCAGTGTTTCGTTTTCTTCGGCCACATTACTTCAAAGTTATGAGGTTTCTCCATCTTGGTACGCAAAAATGGCTGTAAACCTCAAATGTATAAGAATATCAAGGTCGCTCGGGCAATCAACTTGGATACCCCGTGTTAGTGATTTTAGTGCACCGGGCTCAGCTTATATACATATATATATATGTATATAAGCTGAGCCCGGTGTATATAGCTTATATACATGTATATATATTTATATAAGCTATATGTATATAAGCTATATACATATATATATGTATATATATGTATATATATGCATATATATATATATATGAATGGTTTATCATTAAGCGAAGTGATAAAGGTACCTGTATTTTAAAGGCACGTATGATGATTATCGTGAAGGCGAAGAGCAGAATGAAATGGCGAAGGCAGTGATAAAATGCGGAGGCGCACATCTCTGTGGTTCGGGAATGCCTTCCGCTGCTTACAGGAACTGAAATAAAGCGTTTTTGAATCGAGTTGCTAGGAGCATGTACGAAAGGTAGAGCGATTAATCACGAAGCGTAGTTTCAATACGGGAAAAATTGTTTTGGGATGAATAATGGGAAGAGAATGGAAGGGAAAGATTCCCGCTACTGCCCACATCCTACCTCTCGCAGTTAAAACTGTTCGCTCCTGTTTCCTTTACTAGGAATCATCCGACTCGAGGCACGCGAATGTGTCCCTCAAATAACATTCCACACGGTACTAATGGAACAGAAAAAGCCAGTAATCTACTACGCTTCAGCAATTTTCACTTTTTGTGCTGTAATCATTTCAAATTCGAGGACGGCTGTGATTATAAAAGGACCTACCGCAATTGTTTTAGATTTTTTGAACCACACTTATCGCGAACCAAGGCTACCGGTAATGCAAGAAAAAAAATTTTTCTTTGTACTTAAAATTTTGGCGTTTAAAACTAGTTTTGGAAATAATGAAAAACCACTGGCTATGATGAAGAAAGCGGTGGAGCGAAGGTTACTTGAGGCATTTCATTGTGTCAAACTCAGTTTTCCGCGGGATGAGCGATGGGTGGGATATCTTTGCGACTACAAAAGAAATTGAAATTTGGCAGGAAAGATATGTTGCTCGCTTTGCCGACAATTCATAGAAACTGCTTTCTAGTGGAGATGTTCGCGGGAAATTGACCGACTAATTAAGAGGTCTTTGAAGAGAATGGACACACATGTCAAATATAAATGGAGAACTGTTGACAGGTTCAAGCGGCCTGGCATAGCTGCAGCTTGAGTGCATTCCTGCGGCAACATCAGTACTCTGTCCGAGCAGCATCAATATTCATTGGTAGGCACAATGAATATTGAGAGCATTCACACTAATGACTTAGTCGAAAGTGTACCGGCTGCCGGTACGAGGATGCGTTTTTTGCACAGTTTCTCCGCAGGTTTTTTTTTTCGCCAGTAGTAAGTTCTTCTCGGCAGATGCTTCTAGCTAAAAGAATTGGGACTGGCCACCATGCCTGTTAGAAATTATTACAATGACTCCCAATTCATGCCCAAAAAATCCAACGCTCTGGGTGCTTCGGCTGCAGAGTTACGTCAAATTTCACATGTTCGTACGTGAGTGGCAAAGTGAATACTTTCATTGCCCGCATTGCTCAAACACAGTCCCGGTAACTCTCAGAAAGTTTCAACACTTCAGTTGCTCTAGTTGCAGAGTTATGTCAGATTTCACGCACGTGCGCGTGGGACCTGTGTGAGACGTGAAAGTGTTGTGTAAGTCGTTTTTGCTTGCGTCTGTTCAAAGGCCACCGTCGGTTATGCTCAGAAACTCCAGATCTTCTGGCTGGTTCAATCCTGAAGTTACAAAAGCGCATGCTAAAATTTTCACGTGTCCGTACGTGAGAGTAGGAGAGCTGACAAGTAATTTACTTTCGCGGACACAACAATAGGCGACAACTAAAGCTGCAAAATTGCAGCTCTCTGCAACTTATTGCTCAGCTTAAATCTTATTGGTCAGGGGGCGCATGATGCCAATTTAAACTTTAACATGTGCGTACGTGAGACCTGGGAGTGCGTGAAGGCTGGATTTGAAATCTTTGGATTAGATGCAGCCAAGGAACATTTCTGTGAAGTTCCAGCCTCTAGCATGAGCCGTCCCAGAAAACGCTTTCCCGCCAAAAAAAATTTCACGTGCCCCTACGTGAGAACCACGCGGACCTGGGCGTCCATTTTGAGGATACGAACCCGCACGTACGTTTAGATTAATTCACCAAATTTTCAGCCTTGTAGCTTTTGTGGATCTCGAGATGTAAACTTGTTACAGACGAACACACACGCATACATACATACACACATAGACAACCCCTGGACAATATGCGTTTTTGCATTGCACAGCTGCAAAAATGCATAAGAACTGAGTGAAGCGATGGCTCTGATTTGCCCGTCAAGGGGCTCCGAGGTGCATTCACCACATTCGATGGGTGACAGAGCTTCATACAATACTGTAACTTTGTTATTTTGTTCAGCTGCAATTCATAGCATTACCATCAACCGCGCGGTTGGCAACTTTTCCAATTGTTTTGACCAGTGCTGCATCGCCTACTGATCGTGACTTAAAGAGTTTACAGCTCGACAATTCACCCGTTACAAAAGCAGTTTGATAAGCGCTTCAACCGTTTCAACTACGCCTTGGACATTTCCATTCCCAAACCAGTCAGCGTATTACCTCATCATATGTTTCAATATGCTAATATATGTTTCAGTTCCTCATTCGTGACGAAGCTTAAACATCTCGGACATAATTTCAAATCCGATGCGCCCAGTATGAAAATTACGTAATAATTTTAGCAGATAAAAGAATGCTTTCCAGAACTGTTCATTCATTTTACTTGACTCACAAATGGTTGTCGTTTGGTCGCTGCTTCCGGCTTCGTTCTTTCTAATCATTAGTACACATCTTTCACAATGTTACTGTTCTGTGGGCAGTGATAATTAAAAATATTACTGAGCATTGAAAGTCCTCCAAAGTGCAATGTTTCTAACTGTAGAGCTAACTAGAAATACTGCAAATGGGTTTTTTATTTCAAGCAACACGAAAAAGGGGATGAATTAGCAACGCAGCATTTTTTCCCAGCTGAGGTGAGTAGCCTGAGTAGTCAATGCCGTGGCACTAAGCATAACGAGAGGAATGCTGCACCATTTTTCTAGATTAGTGGGTTTTGCATATTTTTCAAAAAAAAATGTTTAAAAAATTCAGCTTCTATTCAGATGAAAAAATTTTTTCGGAAAATAATTTTCGAGGGAAATTTCTGGAATTTCAGACGTCCCTGCATGTAAACTAATTCTAAGTTCCTACTTATTCGAAAATTCTTTCTTAAATCACTTCAAAAAAAAAAGAACATGAAAAAACTTGTCAAAACCTTGCATCGTAACATAAGCCATTTAATAATAAAACAGATAAGGCAAATATTCGCTTACACCTTCGGCAACCAGGATCCAAATCTCAGGGCAGTGGTTTCGAGATACAAAACTCTAAGTAGCGCACAGTTTAAAAATTTTCGTTGCAAAAGTGCTCTTCAGCTACGGTCTAAGCATGAATGTATTTGTATTTTTTTTTGAGGGGTTTTTTTTTTGTTTTTTTCTAGAAGAAACTCGAACAATGAGAAAACTATTGCAACTTAACAAGAAAACTTACGATTTAATATTCATCATATGAAAAGGACACTTTCTTGGTTGATA